GTGAAGCATTAAGCTCTGAAAGTGTGAAGGTCATATTTTCAGTCTATGTGGGTATCTTGTGAAAAAGGAAGGGCATCTGTTCCTCAAAGATTGACCTGGTGACTCCTCTCCCCGGCTTGCTATTCTAGCAACTTCATGAGGGAATGCCCCACGTCATGAGGCATGGTTAGTAAACCAGAGACTTGGCAAAAAAGCTCATCTTGACTGGCAGTTATACCTCACATCGTGAATCAATTATAAGGTCTAATTTCACTCACAGGGGCTGTGCCCCAGGCCTTGGGGTTGGAGCATTTGGATCTGACCCTAAATGTACAGCTGGTGTTGGGTCTGAAGAGTCTTCCTCCAGGGAAGTGGTCTTGGGAAAATTTGATTTCCTTAATCTCTTTGGTCTGGAAAATCTCAAACTAGATATTATTTTATTTTTTTTTCAACATTTATTTATTTTTGGGACAGAGAGAGACAGAGCATGAACGGGGGAGGGGCAGAGAGAGAGGGAGACACAGAATCGGAAACAGGCTCCAGGCTCTGAGCCATCAGCCCAGAGCCCGACGCGGGGCTCGAACTCACGGACCGCGAGATCGTGACCTGGCTGAAGTCGGACGCTCAACCGACTGCGCCACCCAGGCGCCCCTCAAACTAGATATTATTTAAATCAACGAACAAACCATTGGATTTCTTCTCCTCTAGCTGCCTGACCATAGGTTTTTCCTGTTCTTGATCAGACTGTCAATTCTAGATTCAGCCTCCAGGTCGTAATCTAGTAAGGAAAGATATATCTGTCTCCTCTGCTCAGTCTCTTCACTTTGGTGCTACCTTGCTACAAAATTTGGGTAGACACGTTGGGTTGGCTCATCCCCGTTACGGTCTTGTGCTCTCAGTGTAGACCCTCTCTCTCCCCATTCTGATTCCTGTTTCTCTTGATAATGCTAAGGCAATGCTCCTAGTATGTCAACTGGAAGTCTGCCTTGCTCTAATAGGTGATAAAACTTCCCTCCCTGACCACCGAAGAGCCTTCCCATTCACACTGCCATGTTTCCAACCCATATGGGATATGTGCTCCTAGATTTCTAGCCCTGTGGAGAAGTACCATGACCATGGTCTCAGTCATGGTTCTGTCTCTGTCCTTTGGGAGATACACTGAAATTCCTTGAGGGGCTGTATCTGAGGTCAGGACAAGGACATGCCATCTTACTCTGTCTCTCAGAAATCTCCCAGGTGCTCCTTCCTGGCATTCTTTAAAAATTGAAATCTACCACAAACGTACTCCTCTACTGGCTTCTGAAGAAAGACATAAAGTCATCCTTCTGCTCAGCTCATGGTACCTTTAAGAGAGACCAATGCTGGGATTTTGATGTCTCCTGTCCAGGCTTGTTCTGTTTTCAGTTGCAGTCTTTGACCAGTCTCTCTGCAGCATCTTTGGCCCCCTGTCTCCTAAGCATGGCTCCCCTGCTGCTTGGAGACACCAGGCCCAGATACCTGAGGGATGACTTCCAGGAGCACAATGAAGGCAGGTTGAGACAGGCCTTGCTGGCCACAGACGCTCTGGGTGTGTTGAGGATAGAGACATTCAGTATCAGGACGTAGCAAGACAAGAGAAGTTAGAATCACCACACAAGGATTAGCTACTTCCCTGATGAGCGAGGGGCTGAGGTCACAGGAGAAATAGCCATTTGTTGAACACCTGTTATGTACTAGGTGCTTAACTGTGTTAATTTCATCCAAGCCTCATGATAATCCCATGAGATAGATATCATTACTCTCATTCAGCAAATAGGGGAACTGAAGCACATACATGTTAAATGATTTGGCAAGGGTCACACAGTGATAAGCTATGTGCTAGGCTTTCCAAACTAGGTCTGCTTGAGTCCCAACAGCATCATGCCACTTTTCAAGGCCAAGGATTTTAGGGTTCCGTTAGATGCTTCTTCCCCTCCCCACTGAAAGAAGTCCACCCTTAGATGGAAGTGGATTTTTACTTCACTGGGAGCAGTTGTATCCTGACTCAAAAGCTCCTGCAAATATGAATCTCAGGAAGTTAGATTTGAGATATAGAACCTCTGGAGCCAGCCAATTTCTATCTCAGAATCTGAGTTCCTAGGACTGGCCTTCCATGGGCTAATCAGCCAAGATAGGATAAGACCAGCTGGTGTAACATCTTTGGAGTTCATCCAGGACCCCTAGGCTGGGGGTGGACCCTGAACATCTGGAACTACTTTGTGTGTCTTGGGCAGGACTTACATTCATGGTGTGGGCTGAGCCTGACCCCAGACTAGTTTCTCTGCCTCAGAAGGAGAACAGCTATGCCTCTTGCACTGTCCCCTTTATATAGCCCCTACAGACTGGGGACCCCCATTTGCTGCTTAAGTAAGTCCAAGTAAGAATAAAGTGGTGGTGGAAACCAGCCAAACAAGCTAAAACACTTCAACTGTGAGGCACTTGCAGCTCTGTCATAGTTTGTAATTCTAGCTTGTGCATTTATTCAATTAATGTCGATATCCCACTAGACTAGACGGTGAGCTCCATGATGGTTGGGACCTGGTTTACTCTGCTTAGTGAGTATTTGTTCAGGGCTCTCCTAGTCTTGTCCTCTGCACTGGGACCCAGTGTATCTCAGATGGGAGCACTTTCTGCTCTGGTGACCCGGGTTTCTGTAAGAGACAGGCAGATGCAGCTGGTTTCTCAGGTGGACCTATCCACTGTCATTTCAGTCGAAAATACCAAAAATAAAACTTTGCGGGGAATTGTTTGGGCCTCTCAGTTCTCGTCACTCATGTGAGCACACTGCTGGTAACCTTCTCATGGACTTCTTTTTCACGTCTCAGATTGGAAACACTATTTCTTGGGGAAATTGGCAGTCAGAGGAGACTGGATCAGGGTGGTCCAATCCCAGACTCCAACGAGAGGAATGAGGGTCAGAACCTGGCAGGGGACATTTGGTGACTGACCTCCAGGGTTACCCAGAGAGATAAATGGACTTGCCCAGGCAGAGGACAGGCAGGTGATGAGGCAGAAATGGACTGTGCTTGGAATCAGAGGTCCTGGGTTTAGCTGATGACAAAGCTATTTACGAGTGTGGACTTGGGCAAGCCACTTAACATCTCTGGGCATCGTGTTCCTCATCAGTGGAAAGGAGGGTGAGAGGGAGACCGACCCTGCCTATTTCAGGAGTTGTGGTGAGGCCACACTTGAAATCATTTGTGTCAAGGCTGTGTGAGTCACAGAACATTGTGTGCAAAGGTGAGCATGGTGATTTCTGAGTTCCTGGGGGCTAAGCTCACGACCAGGAAACACAGGCCCGAGTCTCCACAAAGAAGAGGCAGAACACAGACGCTGTTTCTGGGAGTAGAGAGAGCAACCCAAGAGCCTTGCGTGGTCTGCTTGTTCTGCTGGAGGTTTGGAGGGAGGATGGACGTATGGTGTGGAAGGCCCTGAGAGTCCTCGGGGGAAGGATGTCTCTGCAGCGGTGCCCATGAAGAGAGTCTGAAGGCTCTGGCACTAGCAGCCTTTTGGCTGACCTCTCCCAAGGTCATGGAGTGGGACATCCAGAACTTTGGGACAGTCCAGGTAATATTGAGGCTGTGGAATGGGAACACCTCATGCAGGAGCCTGGTGGAAGAGAGCAGACTGCAGGAAAACTAGCTCTCTGCTTAAGCCTAACATAACCTGAGAGCAGTGTGGTGACCCTGGGTATTCATTCCAGGCTGACTGGGGCTTCCCTTCAACAGGGATCACTCGGCCCCTAGACCCCTTTGGTCAGGGACTCTGTGCTTTCTAAGACTGAACAAACCTCTGTGGTCACCCCAGATGTACTTTAGGAGCCTTCCCTGGCTCTCTCAGGTCGTCAGCTCTAGGTCCTTTTGGCCCGCCCAGGTCTGTGGCTGTCCTTCATCCTTTCCCAGTGACCTGCCTCTGTGGGGCTGATGGAAGTATGCCTCTTAGAATGGAGACAAAGAGAGAGGAAATGTCACTACTTTTCCCTTTCCTTCTCTGATGAGACCAGAGAGCCCAAGATCAGCTGCCATCTTGGAGCTCTCCTGGTGGAGACGTACCAGTCTACACATCAAGATGCCACGACTTACTCCTTTTCGGCTGCCTCAGCAGCCTTACAAGCAACACCAGATTGTAATTCGGTTGAGGTTCTACTTTCTCATATCTTCTAAACACCTTCAAAGGCATTTTTTGTCCATCTATCTTTTTCCGCCTCTGCGTGTTATCCAGATTGCTAGAACGTATGAGTGACGTGGTGATACCTCCTAGCAGCAGAGCCCTTTCAGTTCAAACACCAGTGAGTGGAAAGCCCACGTTTACATGCGCATGAAATCTCTTTGTTGGAGTCCATTAAAAAAAAAAAAAAAGTAAACAGCAATCCAGTGTAAATTGGGCGGGAAAGCTTTTCTGTAGCGTGTCAAGTCCAATCTTTGGCCAAAGCCCAAGTTCTTGCTTCCTGTTTGGAAAAAACTCAGCCATTGTCCATGAATGGAAAGAACAAATTTGAAAACTTTGACTCAGATCTTCACCAGAAGAGGAACATTCACATTAGTGTTTCAATTAAGGATGTGGATAATCCTTTAGCCCCATGAGCTAAACTTTCCCAGGCGCCCTCAACTACCTTAGGCAGAGAACACAAACAAACTTCTTTACGTTAAAGTGAAAAGTGTCAGCAACTTCTATGACTTTGTTTTCACTTAGAAGCTAGGACAAGTTTGTTAGCCCTGGGCTTGAATTCCTATTGTTCACGTATTTGTTTTTGGTTTTGCTACAAGTGAAGAGAAAATTATTTGTATTTCTCCTTAGTGGATCTTTAAAAAAATAATACTGAAGGTTCAACAGCAAAAGAGAATAATATTTACCGAGGTTACTTGGAGTGATCAATAGTGTGTCATGTGTCCTTCTGGGCTAGGAAGGTTTTGTCTTTCAAAATGGCCTTGTGTGGCTGTAGGAGGGAGGTTCAACCAGTCAGTTGTAAATGGAAAGCACTTTCAGCGAGGTAGATAGTCGACATGAGTGAGGTGGGTTCCTCTTCCGGGTTCCTTGATGGTAGAAATGTAGGCTTACCCTGGATCCCAACTAGCCCTTACAGCAGCAGTCCTATCTGCTGTTGAACTTACTGCCTGGCCCTGGTGGCTCGCAAGAAATCTGTAACAGGACAGCGGCTAGGAGAAGCATCTTCTTTCAAGAGGACCCTCGACACCGTTCTAGGTAGCACCTGGCTGATGAAGGCTCTCTGAAAGCTGACTGGAGGAGAAGTTACAGTGACAAATGCCTGGGTGTGAGCTCCACCAGGAGCCATGAGGAGGGACCTATCTCCTTAGCTTCCTCACTGTGGCGTGAATGTGGTTTACATGGGGCGATTAAATAAACAAGTGCTGACAATTTTGCATATGTCCTCGGTGATATTTATTATCCCTTCTTCAGGGAACTGGAGGGCCGTGTTTATTTAAATGAGTAGCATCCATATGCTTCCTAAGCTCGGGGCGAACACACACGATGCCCGCATGCAGACAGAGCACAGCCAGAAGTGACCTGTTGGCTTGATCTGTCATGGTCTGTGCCCTCCAGTGGAACGACAGCTGCAGGGCTCTTATTTTTGTGACGTGGAGCCTGTCCGGCTGTGCGGCAGGGGGAACTGAAATGTCTTCTGCTGACTTTTTATACCTTCAGATTTTTTTCATCGCTTATTTTGGAAAAGGAAAGCCCTCACTGGGGCCAAAGTTATAGGTTTTTCTGTAAACGAGTTTTGTGGGGTTTTTGTTGTTGTGTTTTGTTTTTTTCCCCCAAACTCCATTGGCGACTGACTTCCAGTGGTGGGAAGTAACATGGCTGGACGTTACTCGCCCTGAGGAAAGGAGATTCCTAGCAAAGGCCAAGAGGCTCATGTTTAGGTGGAAAGATTTTCCTCAGTGACGGACACTTGGCTGCTCCCAGGAGACTTAACGGGCCTTCGACCACAGGAGAAATGGTGAGGAGGCTTCAGGCTTTCAGGACAAGCTGCCGTTTGGTCAGGGGACTCCTAACACTTCTGGTCAACTCTACTCTGGGAAACTGGACCGGGTAGCATCATTTTGATCTCGTGCTTTCTTTTCTTTGTCTCTTATTTATTATTAAGAAATTATTTTAAGAATCTTAAAAATGTTCTTCTCAGTATTCTAGTCTAGTTGTTTTAAAGTGGCTCCGTTCAGGGATCCCCACGCCCCCAAGGCAAAGCAATCTCGATTTCAGACAAATTTCTTTTCACCTTCCAAATTTTTATGCTGGTTTCTCAGGCTGGTGGCGGTGGGGGGGGGGGGGGGGGGGGGGGGGGGGGGTACAGTGTTTACCACAGAATTAGAAACGTTTATTGTTGCTTTACAAAGGTTGGTGTGAAAAGGACTAACTACAGGTTTTGGCTTTGCAAATAGGCTTGGCCACTGGGGTCCTTGGGGAATTGTCCTGAGGCTTCTGATTCTGGTATTTCACGGTCACTTTGCAAAGACACCGGCTGAAGCACCCTCGAGCACTCGAACATGCGCACTGGCAGTCAGTTCCTGGATTCCTTGGCAGCTGGTTGTGGGCTGGTAGGTGGGGAGGCAGCAGGTCCTTGAGAGCTCTGGGAGTTTCGCACTAGGAAGAGGTGGGGACTTAGAAACTGCTCTCCATATGGTCCTTGTGCCAGGGCACACCTGTTGACACTGTGGCTTCTAAGGAAGTCCAGACATCAGAGGGTGATGCCCTCGGCTCACAGCACCTCCCCCAAGCCCTCTTTGTTCATTGATTCAAAAACAACAGGAGGCAGGAAGCCCTCCCTTGACAAGATCCTGGAAATGCCCAGCTGGCCCCTTTGCAGCCAAGTGTTCGATGTGTCCACTTCCTGGGAGGGAGCGGGTGGGGAGTCCTCTGGGCCCTTCCCCACAAGCGTACATGCAAATCAGAGAGGGTTAGCCGTATACCTGTCTTTGGTCTGGACTGAGATGTGAGCACGTGGCATGGAGCCTTTCTTGCCCCTCAGCTGAATTAAGAGTGTGGCCACCGTGCTTAGACCCCCAAATAACCCTGTCCCCTGAGTTTCTTCCGAGTGTGCAATGCCTCAGGCTGCACTCGTGCCTAAGAATAGCTGGAAACCCAGCTGCAGACAAGTGTGGTCTGATATGGGTGCGAATAAAGCCACTGTGGGTGACTGAGAATGAGTGAACAGAGTGTGGGAGGGCAGGCGCCCCTGTTTGCTGCCATGTGGGGCCCCACCTGGGGTCTGTGGCCAATGCTGGGCATCACTGATCATGAGAGAAAGTGGCACAAGGAACCTGTGTAGGAGTGAGGCACCCAGAAGGAGGGTTAGAAGGATTCAGAACATGTCATTAAGAAATAGCTGGAAGGACGGATATGCATTCAGACTACAGGGGACCTGGTATCTGCCTTCCGATGCTGGAAAGAGATACGACTACTGCTGATACTATTAGCTCACATGTATTTAATGCTTGCTGAGCACACGCTCTGTTGCAAGCATTTACTTGGAATTCTCAAGCCTACCAGGTATGTGCCATTATGATCTTCATTTGCAGAGGTGAGAAGGCTGTCAATGGATTCTGAACGGCGAGTTTCATCAGAAGGCAATGCCAGGCAAAATGGCGCTTGTTACCATGCGGCCGGTCAAGCAAGAGGATAGAGCTTCCTGACACTGAAGCTCCCCAGAGGAAGGTGGAAATGGGTGGAGGGAGGGGAAGGAAAGTAGCATCTACCATAGCTGGCCCTGGCCATGGCTTTGAGACCCTCTGGCGTATTATTGCAGGGAATCCTCACAACTGCTGTGTGAGACGTGGGTTATTGAGGCCCAGGGGTGTTAAATAAATCATCCGAGACCTTGCCACCAATAAGCGACAGCCCAGTTTTGCATACAGGTATTTTTGGCTCTCAAGTCTGTTGTTAATGCTGCTTTTACGAAGGTGATGGTGCCCAGGTAGTGCTGGGGCACTGGTATGGGGCTGGATCTCTCTGCTCCACACTCTAGTTTCAGTCTGATTTTATGTCGGTTGTAACTGTTTCATTGCATGTCTCTCCCACGAGATGCAAGATGCATGTGGGCAGGAGCCATAGCTATCTTGCTCAGTGCTGTATTCCCAGTGCCCAGGGATAGTTGGAAGAATGAATATCAGTTGAGACTCCTTGTTACGATGGGGCGGGGTCGGGGGTGGGGGTGGAATTAAAAAGAGGATAATTTATCTATCAGGACGTTAGAGGGAAACTCTGGTATTCGATTAGGGGTGGTTATCAGTGATGCTAACCCCAGCAGAGCTTCAGAATCACCGGAAAGACTTTTAAAATATAGATTCCTAGGCCCACATCAACCCCCCAGAATCGGAACTGCCTGGAAGCAGGGCCTGGGTATCTTCACTGTGTACCACTCCCTGGTCAATTCTGCTACCTGGCCAGGTGAGGAGGCCCCATGGATGCATCTGAGTCTGGGGTTCTCTGTATTATGTGTCCCTGGCGCTCTTGGACACCCCTTTCCCTCCCCCTGCTGCCTCTCTACCTGCTGGGCTTCAAGGCCAACTGCGTGTGTGCCTGGAGCACGGATGGAGGTCTGGTGCCGGGTCAGGCATGAGTTCTTATCAATTGGGTATTTACTGAGCAAAGTTCAGCCAGGTAGCACTATGGTTCCGGGTTTAATAGATACCTAGGCTTCCAGGCTTTTGATTCAGAGTCCAGGTCCCTGGGACCCTTATCAGTGAATGATAATGGGCTCCCTGTGTGAGTCCCCAGGGCCAGGGCTACTCACTATTCTTGGCTGAACCAGGCCTGCCCTCCAAAGGCCCAGGGCCCTAGACTGTGGGCTGTCTGGGAGGGCAGATGGTCAGTGCCCAGCCATGACTGCTTCTGGCTTGCTCTCCCTGGCCAGGAAGTGCCCGGTTCCAGCTCAGTGCTTTGGTTTCCCGGCTTTGATGACAAAGGGCACAGGGAGCCTTCTCTCTACAGCAGGGCTGGACACTCTCTGGCTCCTGGTATGTGGATCACCAGTGGGTATTGGTCCTCTGCCCTGGGAGCCACGGAGAATCCAGGAACCGTTCACTGCAGCCCATTCTATGGGTCCAGGAGAGGGGAAGGCGGTGGGAGGGAGTGAATGGCAGCACATTCCAAATAATCACCCAACCGGTTAATCAGCAAATCCCTTACTGAGCTCGCTGTGGACATGCTACTTGAGAAGATATAGAGAAAGAAGGTAAAGTATCTCATCTTGAGAAGCTTATCATCCGGTTAGGGGCATACGAAATTTACACCGAAGGATTACTAATTATTATATAGCAGATTGCAAATTTATTAAATGCTTGCTCTGTACCTGTTTTATAGTAAGCATATACTGTGCTCCCCATTTACTAGGTCAGCGACCCCTTATGACATTCGTTTGGTAAGAAATGGCACAGAGAGGTTTAGTAACTTGCCCAGGATCACATAGCTAGAACGTGGCAGGGGCAGATTTCGAGGCCTGTGCCGTCCGACTTGGCGTCCCTGCTCTTTTGCCGTCCTCTACTGCCCCCTATGATGAGCACTAACCAGGCCTGTCTAAGAGGCTGGAGGATGAAGCCACTTCTGTGGGCAGCCGTGGGCCACCAGGAGGGTTGCAGTAGCCTTGAGCCAGGGCAGATCAGGAGGCTGAGAAGTGAGAGCATGAATCCTGACCACTGGAAAGCTCAAGTAAAGGTGAGGAGAGGAGACAAGCAGGAAACCAGGGAAGTCTGAGTAGCCCTTGTGGCCAGAGTCAGGGCTTATTAGTCCTTGGTGTGCAAAGTGGTCAGAGAATGGGTTGAGCTGACGCAGCCCAGGACTTTCAACTGTACATTAAGTTTACAGGACTGAACTGGTGAGGCAGAAGGGAGCTATAGACGGTTTGGGGCAGGAGGAGTGGCAATACTGGGGGAAATTGTCTAGGAAGTCTCCCGGGTCCTCCCTGCTCAGGCACAGCTGAGGTGAGCCGGCAGACCCTTGAGAAGAGGGGAGCATACGCTGGGGTGGGGGCTCGTCTGAGAGGCCGATGAGAACCGGCGACATTGTTTTTCGCAGCCTCGGCACCAGAACAGGCCCCGGCTCCACCCCGGCCGTACCAGGGCGTCCGTGTGAAGGAGCCAGTGAAGGAACTGCTCCGGAGGAAACGTGGCCATGCCAGCAGCGGGACGGCTGTCACACCTACGGCGGTGAGGAGGCCACTGTGGCCCGAGTGTGCGTGTGCGTGTGCGTGTGCGGTGGGGTGTCCAAAGGGGCCCTGGCTCTAGGCGAGGCTCAGCGAGGCCACAAAGGCAACACGCTGCCAGGTACGGCTGCTGAGGAATGGGCTTAGGGGAGAACAGGTCAGTGATCCCTGGGTAGACCAAGGAGGACTGGGGCCATGGGCTGGCCCCATTGAACAAAGCCAATGCCGGGGGCCTGAGTGAGCAGATGATTCACACGTCCTGGCGTGAGCTGGGTGCCCCCTTGGGAAGACGACGAGGCCAGTTCCCTACGTGCACAGGCTTCTCGCTAAACGGAAACACGCATCCCCCAAAAGTATAGGTGGTGACGGCTGGGACATGACATGGATGTTTTGGTCTGAGAAGGAAGATTCCCCCCCATCACCCCCCAACGTATACTTTCCTCCCCTGGGGCCCTCTGGGCAAGTTTTCTGCAGAGGGCCAGATGGAGAGAGCTGAACACTGATCCTAGTCTCTCCTCCCTCTAGGTGGTGCTGCCCCATCAGCCCCTGGCTACCTACACCACAGTGGGTAAGAGCTCTCCACAGCCCCGGTCCCCTCCAGGCCCCTCGTCTGGGCCACACCTGCAACTCTGTAATTTCCTTCTTCCCACAGGTCCTCCCTGCCTTGACATGGAGGTCTCCGCTTCCACAGTGACAGAGGAGGGGGCCCTGTGTGCCGGCTGGCTCTCCCAGCCGGCCCCGGCCACCCTCCAACCCCTGGCCCCGTGGACACCCTACACGGAGTACGTGTCCCACGAAGCTGTCAGCTGTCCCTACTCGGCTGACATGTACGTGCAGCCCATGTGCCCGAGCTACACGGTGGTGGGGCCCTCCTCCGTGCTGACCTACGCCTCCCAGCCGCTCATCACTAATGTCACGGTACGTCACACAAAAGCATTGCTGCACCAAGGACACCCTTTGGGACCTGGGCTGACTTCCTGACCCCTGATCGTTCTTGCTACTGATTCTCAGGATAACTGAGTCTTCAAGCCCTTCCTGTCCCGCAGGGAGGCCTGCTCTTCCCATTGACCTTCCGCAAAGAAGGCGGATGGCCTCCCTTGTCGTACGTTGTGCTCTTTGGGGCGGGGATGTTCTCCGGACCTTCTGCCCTAAATCTTCCCGTGCTGCCCCCAAAGCAGAAGGTCTTGGTTGGAAGTTTCGGTTTTCAGTGAATGGGGGTATCAGGTGAGGTCTGACTGGGGCCTTGCGCCACACCAGGGCTCTCTTTCTATTCCGCTGACTTAGAGGCTGATCGGTCACCTCATAGTGGGATTTGCAACAGGTGACACGACTTTTCAGAAAACTACTTTTGATGAAGTCAGACCCACCTACAGGGTAATTTGTTGAGTCCTGACTCTAGCATCAGATTGCTTGGGTTCAAATTCTTGTCCCTTACTAGCTATGTGATCCTGGACTGAGTAACTTAATTTCTCTGAGCCCCGGTGTCCTCATCTGTGAAATAGGTATACTAACAAGAGGGCTGATGTCAGGCTCGATCGGGATGATGCCCGTGGAGGACTTAACACAGTTCCTGGCACATAGAAAACACTCAATAAATGTTACGTTATGATTGTCTCAAAGTCGGCCAGCAACATTAACCAAGGGCTGCCTTCGAGTGCCCGATGGGAAAGAAAGGGCCTGCTCCCCCAGACACAAAGGAAGAGAAGTGGTTTTATGTGAATGGTATCTGTTTGAGCAAAGGAATGGGAATCCCCTAAGCGTTCGGAGGAGGAAAGGTCTATGGGTGTAGCTATATCCGGCCTCAGTTCAGGGAACACTCTGGGGGTGCGAGTTGGGGCCTCAGGAGTAGCTGCAAAGCCCACATGGAGGTGGAACTGGCTTTGGTTCCCCACCTCCCCCCACCCGTTTCCCTCAAGGGTTCAGCGTCATGCTGTTGCACCTGCCCTTTCATCACCATCCAGGCAAGGGCACGCAAGAGCTCTCCTCCCCCAACCCTACCTGGCTACTCTGCAAACCGGTTGTGGGCATGGATGATGGTGGCTAGAGGAGTGAATTCAACATCTTTCCCAAGCAACTAATTTCCATATCGGGGGCCTTTGGTGGGGGCGGGAAGCGGTGGACGTAATGGTTCTCAGTCATTTCAATCCCAAGGATTTCTCTCATTATTTATCCTTTCATTATCCCCACCTCCTACCTTGAAAGGCTCTGTGTATCAAACAGACCGTATTTATTAAGAAATAATTTGTTTGTTTTGCCGCTTTGTAAATCAACGCATCAAAGCTGGTGAGAGCTACTAGTCAGCACCCCTCATTAGCAGGAGATAAGACCTGTTAAAGCCCGGGGTTGGTGGAATTCTATCCCTGAGCAAAGAAACCTGCAGTCCCCGGTTTCTGACTCCACAAAGTAGGATTTCCATGGGAATTTTGAAATGCTGGAAACAGTCAGGCTTTGCTGGGAGGCTGGAAGGCCTCTGAGACCCTTCCCAGCTCTGTCATTCTATAGAAAAACACCCTAAAGCCTTGCTACTCGAGCTACGGTCCCCGGACCAGCCACCCTGGCGTCACCAAGGATCTGATGGGACATGCAGAATCCCGGGCCCTACTCCAGACCTCTTGTACCAAAACGGGCATTGTAGCAAGATTCCCAGGGGACTGACATAATCTCTTTTCTAAATGACTCTGTTCCCAGGGGCGGTAGGGGGAGACTTCAGCCTCTCTCACATCATTTCACGCAGAGATCTTCCTCCCCGTCCCTGCTGCCTCAGCTGCGGGAGATAGTCGGAATCCAGGCCCTGCCTCTCTTGCAGGCTTGACCTCAAGTGTGGGTTTATAAAGTGACCTTTATAGTGTGGTTGTTGCCCACGTGAGGGGTATCGTTTGTAGGGCACCTGCGAGAACAGCCGGGGACAGCCACGGGGGCCCAGCTCAGAGACAGAGGAGGATGAGGATGTGGCAGGCACCGGGTTCCCCCAGCGTCTGGGTCGGTCCCGAGCACGTGGGAGATGAGTGGCACCGTGTGGGCGGACCTCAGGGCGGACCACACACCGTGTGTGTCCAGGCGTGACAGCGGCCGCCCGGGGGTACAGCTGCTACCCAGGGGGCAGTCTCGTTAACATGCTGTATTTTCACCAATTTTTAAGATGTGCATCCCCCCCCTCCCCCGCCTCCACAATTTAATATCTCTGAAATTAGGATGGAATTCATATGCAATAAAATCTGGAAAAGCGTCCCCAATTGGCTCAGCCCTGCGATGTCAGTCCTGCTCGTAAGGGACCCCACAGAAGAGAAAAATGGAGGTGGTGGGAGCCAGGACTTGTAGCTAGAGAGAGTCGGGGCAGGGATCCAGCTGAAGTTTGCCTGGCTTCTCCTTGGGGGGAGACACCGAGCAGGTGGAAATGGAGCCCCCCACCCCCCCACCCCCTGGGCTGAGAGCGCAGGCAGGGGCCAAGTTGAGGGGGCTGGAGAGCTCTCCACCAGGAGCAGGACGAGTGCGGACGGACGAGCGGATACCCCCGGGGCTGCTAACCCTTGGTCCCTTGTCTTCCCCATCATAGACCAGAGGAGCGGCCGCGCCCACCGTGGGGCCCCAGCTGGAGGGCCCGGAGCACCAGGCGCCCCTCACCTATTTCCCGTGGCCGCAGCCCCTGTCCACACTGCCCGCCTCCACCCTGCAGTACCAGCCTCCGGCCCCAGCCCTGCCCGGGCCCCAGTTCGTCCAGCTTCCCATCTCCATCCCCGAGCCGGTCCTTCAGGACACGGAAGACCCCAGGAGGGCCATCAATTCCCTGACCATCGACAAGCTGCTTTTGGAGGAAGAGGATGGCGACGCCTACGCGCTCAACCACACGCTCTCGGTGGAAGGCTTTTAGGGCCTGCTCGCCCGGAGAGTCCTGCTCCCCGAGCCTGGGATTTTACACTGAGCCTGGGATTGAGCCTCAGATTCACACCTGTTTGGAGTAGCTGTCTCACAACTACACTTTCCACCCTCAACTAGAATAATTGGCTTTCCTCCCTCCCTCCCCTCTTCCTCCTTCCCTTTCTGCCTTCCTCCCTCCCCCCTCCTTGCCCCCCCTCCTCCCTTCCTCTCTTTCTCCTTTCCTCCCTCCCCCGAACCCCTTCCTCCCTTCCTCCTTCCTTCATTTTTTTTTTCCATTTCTGTTCCTATCTGAGAAGGAATTATAGAGATTTTTGTGGTAATATTGATGCCAGTGTTGCAAACCCATGTCCCAGGTGCTTTTATTTCTGCCTCATTTTGTTCATTGGAGCAGCAGCCCGGCTGAGCTGTCTTGGGGCCAGTGCCGCCCTGCCCTCTGTCATTTTGAGGTCTATGGGGTGGCCTCGCAGACCCACTGCCCAAGTCCTTGAGCTGTCAGTTCTCACAGTTGATTCTTTGTTTGCTGTTCTCTGCGCTGGCCAGATTTACAGTCTAGGCAGCAGAGTCCCAAGGCCTGGGGCTCAGTTAGGTGGTGGGGGTGGTGTTCCGGGGGAGAAAAATCAACAGCAGAGTGGGTGGGTTGAGGGACAGAGGAGGGAGGGGAACGTTGTGTGTGTGTGTGTGTGTGTGGGCATGTGTTGCGGTGGGGGGAGGGGGAGGAGAAGGTTGGGTGGGGAGAAGGAGGACTAAGGAACCACTGAGCTTCAGATTACTTGGTTATTAAGAAGGAGAATAAACTTAAGAGCAATAATTGCTTCGATTGGTGGTTTTGTCGCTCTCCTTGAGGATACTTGCGAGGAAAGCCGAGCTCTTATAATCCGGAGGGTTAATACCTCTGATTGCGCCTTCCCACGGGCGGACCCTCCGTGGTGCTCGCTGTGTGCGAACCAAAACTCACTGAAGCCCCGTGGGGGCGGGGTCCTCGCTCAGTGCCACACGTGGTTCTTCTGTGTCTTATAAAGAGCCATCATTGTGTGGGACCACAGCCTCCTTCTCAGGCACCTTCCTGGGGGCTTCTAGAAGCTCAGCCAGAAGTACCACTGGGTTTAATTTCAACGGATAGTTGCTGGCTGGGGGGCCTCCAAACTGGCTGGTGCTGGAGCACAGTTGTTGCTGGGGGCGTTCATCTCCTGACAGGGGCTGTCATCTGCTGGCTAACCCCATTGTCAGCACTGGGCAGACAGCTTAGTTGGCGGATCCATGACGAGGTAATAAACTTTTCTCAGAAACAATGGCTTCTTGGACACATTTTCTTGCCCTTTTAAAATAAAAACTCCAGAAAGTCGTCTTTCATTGGATTTTTTTTTTTTTTTTTTTTTTTTTTTTTTTTGCTTTGGGTTTATTTTGACCCAAATGTCTCAGCATCTGCCTAAAATCTCAATACGAATATCTTGAATGATTTTTACTCAGACTTACTCTTTGGATTTAAAAGCGTAAAATTTCAGGTACCGAATTGACATCTTTGTTGGTAGTGACGGCAAGTAGGCAAAGGGGGGGGGGGGAGGTTTCAGGCCTGTTGGATCAAACACCCTGGTTTCCTTTAAGAAAACACTATGCAAGATTTTTCAGCCTACTCTTGGAGGGCTTGAGAGGACGTAGAAGCAATCTCTGTAGGGGAGTTAAGTTGGCAAAAACTACCAAGGAAATAAAGTACTTTAAGTGTTTGCTAAGATTTGAACAGTGTCTTTTTGTCTCCTTACCTTGAGGTGAAAAGGTCTTGGTTGTAATAACCTCCCTCAGTTTCTTCCTGGGTTTTCCTGCTAAAATGGAAACATGTTAATAAAGATTTGCTCAGACTCCTGTGCCGAAGCGTTTTATTTCTTATCAGATTAATCCCCCTTCACCTGCAGTTCCGTGTCGGGCAGTGTGAGTGTAGGCAGCCGCTTACACCAGTCTTGTTGACTTTGCAACTTGATCCACAGCAAGGGAAGAAGGAACCGGCCCCACCTGCCTGCTGCCCAGCTCCCTCGGGCACAACGTGCGAGGCCCGTAGCCTTGTCTCCAGGCGAGCGGGGATCTGAGATGATGAAGGAAACTGTTTAACCCTATTGCCCTTCCTGGGTGTTATTCATGCTACATGAGTCAATTCTCGTGATGCTGGGTGTCCAGAGGTAAGTTCAACCACTGGTACCTCCATGTGTCAGAAGCTAGGCCCACAGGAAGCCAGCTCTCAGGGCCAGACATCACAGTGAGAGGGACGGTCAAGAAGGCTGCCAGTCCTCTGGAACACCAGTCCTTAGAGTGAGTAACAGATTGGAAGGTCTCCTTTCCCAGGTGATTTTCTGAGTTACTAAGAACTTCTGAGATCACTGCCTTCACTGTTCATCTCTCCTGGGGTAACCGTTTTTGTTTTTTTTTAATAGTCCACTTTATTCTGCCATATGTCTTGTGTGCAGATTTTGGGGGACAATAGTATCTCCAGCTATTTCATGTGCTTTACTGGATCACCCCTGTTGTCTTTCTTCTTAGTCTCTGTGTAGATCATAATCCAGAATAAAGACGCGAAAGGAAACGTACTTGAGGATTTCTCCCCCCTCTAGTTTTACCAACACTCAGTGGGAGGGGAAGATCTTTTAAAAATGTACTTTGCCTCTGTCACCAGCTTCCGTGATGCCCTCGGTCTGCAGTGTGGAACATAGGGCCGCCTTGGTCTAGGTCGGTGCCCTGTCAGATTCTGATCCGTGAAGCTGCCCATTTCCAGCGTGAAATGAGGCAGAAAGGAGAAGATGAGTACCCGGTGGGACAAAGAAGCTGGGCCTCTACAAAATAATAATGCCACCACGAGGCTCAAATTCTCTGATCCTTCGTGTGCAATCATCTCTCAGTGGAATTTGGAGACGTGTTCTAAACATGAATTTCCTGAAATCAGAAATCATAGATAACTCATTTTGTAGTAACCTACTTTGTGAATCAGAGGTGAGGTACTCAGTAATTCCTCGCTGAATTGCATGAATTTGGGAGATTTTCCATCGATTCTGTTGAAGGAATACGGATACGGATGACACAGTTGATTACAGTGGAGCCTCCTTTCTGAGACTCACAGACACATGACGTTTCTCAGATGCTTTTTTTTTCCCCCTTAAAGCTTGGGTAGGAACTTCCATAAGCTGGTCTTCTTATTTGTTAGTTCTTCAGGTACACCTATGGATTCTTCGGAAGGGCTTTACATTTTTTTCTTAATTAAAAATTTTTGGGACACCTGGGTGGCTCAGTCGGTTAAGTGCCTGATTCTTCATTTCGGCTCAGGTCATGATCTCGCGGTTCTTGAATTCAAGCCCCTTGGGCTCTGCGCTGGCAGCCAGAGCCTGCCAGGGATGCTCTCTCTCTGCCTCTCCCTCGCTCTGTGCCCTTCCCTTGCTCTCTCTCTCTCTCTCGCTCTCTCTCTGCCTCTCCCTCACTGTGCCCTTCCCTTGCTCTCTCTCTCTCTCAAGATAAATAAAATTAAATTTTTATTTTTTAAATTTTATTATTATTTTTTTAAATATATGAAATTTATTGTCAAATTGGTTTCCATACAACACCCAGTGCTCATCCCAAAAGATGCCCTCTTCAATGCCCATCACCCACCCTCCCCTCCCTCCCACCCCCCATGAGCCCTCAGTAAAATTAAATTTTTAAAAATTAGATTAATCAATTTTGTCAAGAACACTCAACATACTTGTAAGTATACCATACAGTATTGTTATCTCTAGGCACAATGTTATACGTCAGATCTCTAGGAACTTATTCATCTTGAATAACTGAAATGGAATACCCGCTGATTAGCAACTCCCTCTTCCCCCTCGGCCTAGCCCCTGGCAACCACCATTCCATTCTTTGCTTCTATGCGTTTAACTATTTTGGCAAAACACTCGTGGACATGGACTTGTACAGTGTTTGTGCTTCTGTGACTGACTTTTTCCACATAGCATAATGTCCTCGATGGATAAAGAAAATGTGACCTATACATACAATGGTTATTCAGCTTTAAAAAAGGCAGTCCTACAGGACATGACAACATTGACGAACGTGACCATTCATTCACTGAATATATGTTATTCAGTGGCAGCTCTGGGCTAGGCAGGCATCAAGAGTTATTACAGATTTCTGCTTTGAAGTAGTTTGCTAGTGCAGTGATCTCTTTTCAGTGTGAGTGTCCATCCCTATACACGTATATTTAGTTATTTATAAATCGTATCCCTGAACTCCTCTATGAACATAATATCCATTATAGAACGGTCACAAGAGAAATTTAAAAGATGAAGTAAATATAAAACATAATATTTTAAAGCATTGTTTCAGTCATTAATATAATAAAATTCTTTTAACTTTATTAATAATTAAAGTTATTTGTTACTGATAAATAATAAATAATAATAAATAATGTTTAGAAGGAGAAATATTATTGAATATATCTAAATTGATTTTTAAAATCTTTGTGATTCTCCAGGGATGCTCATGATAGTGAGCCTACTAATGGTTATCGAGCCTTTCGCTCAGGTCACGATCTTGCAGTTTGTGGGTTCAAGACCTGCGTCAGGCTCTGTGCTGGTGGTGTGGAGCCTGCTTGGGATTCGTTCTCTCTCTGTCTGCCCCTTCTCCTGCTTGTGCTCTCTCTCTCAAAATAAATAAATAAACTTAATAAATTTAAAATAAAATAAAATAAAATAAAATAAAATAAAATCTTTGTGATACTCCAAGTTGAAGATCTGGGTCTAAGTTCTATTGTTTAGGTACTTGGTTTGAATGGATGTCATAGCTGAAAAAGACACCATACCAAGATATTGAGATCCAAATAAAAATAGTAAATCATTGGCTGTGCTAAACAAATTAAAAAATCATTTCATAACTGCTTCCATCAATTTTGCAAAGCTTTATTTGTAAATCTGGCTGGTAAATTGCCATCCTAGCTGACATCAATCAGTCTTATAAACTCACTGAGGGGGCTGCCTTTTT